ATATATACACTGTAATTGAGATTGAAAGCGTATCATATTTCTATTTATGATTCCTTTTTATGAATATTATCTTCTCAATTCTTATAATATCAATTTTTTGTTGTACAATTTAGTATAATATTTATGAATTTTCTTCTAAAAAGTTAACTTATTGATACAAGTCGCGCGTTAGTTAGGGTAAAAACTTATGTAACCCGGTATTTACACAGATCTAATAAGTAGTATAGTAAGTATAATAAATAAATATATGGCACATCAGGTAAGTATTTACCGTAGGTCCACTAGTTTCGTATATAAATTGTTGGTGAACCAAAATAATGCCAATTCTCGAGGCAATGAGGAACATCTTACGCGAAAAACTCACAGCAGAAAGCATCACGAGAACTCCCCAAACGGTTTTGCATTTTCTGGAGAGGGAGGTTAAACTATGGAAATTATTAGCAATTTTTCTCAATCAGATGAGCCACTGCTACATTCCTCTCCAACTTGTTGTTGCTATACTAAGGTAATTTTGTTTAAGATATTTCCATCTTTTTTATACCAGCGTTTCTTATTAATACTTGAGCTTTTTTCTATTGAACTGAAGATGTTTTGTCTGTAGCCGGCTTGATTTTTGAGAATAGACGTCTCAGTCATTTTCAGGGGATTTTCCGTTCTTTGAACAACCATAGGCATTATTGTTTGCTGAAGATTCTTTTAATAATGGTTTCTATTTCTGGCTTTGATTTTAGATTTTAGCTTTCTCCAGTCCTGCCTAGGACTTTCATGTTTTCAGTAAAGTCTCGTCATTTTTCCTTAATTGGGAGAGGCACTCACTGCTGTGACTGTAAAGCCTATTTGCTGAAGGAAGTGCTGAAGTTGCAGTTATGCAGTTCAATGATGTTCAGTTGATTGTTTCCCTCGTTTACTATATTTTATATATAGTGGATATATGTTTATTCATTTATTTATTTCAGATGGTATATGATCTTCCTGCTGATGTTGTTTTTTAGAATAAAATTTTAGACCTTAGTAGATTTTTGGTCTTCTTTTATAAATACAAAAATTTAAAGGCCACTTATGTTTTCATCTATTTTATCTCTTCCACAATCATATAGGCTGGATTACGACGAACATGAGATGCAATAAATGTTACTTTTGGTTCATCCTTTAGTTGAATACTACTCAAGGTTTAGCCTAATGTGTTTGTTACATTTTTGTGGTGGCATGTGTTTTCAGACACGAGGCTATTGGTTCATGCCCCAGATTCCACTTTGCTAATTTCATCCTCAAAATTTCAATTGTTATGGAAGACAGACTTTATCCAGTTTCATGTTGAATGAAATTACTATGACCTGCCATTAACTTGTAATGATTGGCGATTAAAGCGCTTCTAGAACTTGTTATTAAACATCTGATCAGATTCATGTCTTTGAAAAATTACTCTTTTTTAAGTTATAGTCGAAAAGTACTTTTCTAGAAGTTATACAACTCCTACACAGGTACCTAGTCTTATATTCTCACTGATAAATGCAAGCATGTCAAAAGATGAAACTTCTATATGTACTCACTACTCAGTGAGTACTACTCACCAAGTTGTCTCCTCGTTTCCTTACTTCATGGTTTAAACCTTTAGGCTCATATTCAATTTTGTGATCGCTAGAGAATCATTATCTGCTTAATGTGATTAGTCCAGCAGGTTATTTTATTTTCATTATGTCTTCCTGCATCAAGGTGTACAAAAGTTTAGACACTTATGTTTGGTTACCATTTTCTCATTGCTGTCCTAATTTCCAAGACAATTTGATCTCATCTTCTTTGCTGTTGGATCGACTATGCTTTGTTTGTTTAACTTGTTTAACATTTCAGTTGGTTTTAGGAGGTCTTTTCCTTTGGCATATTGAGTACATTCCTCGTAGGAATTGTCTTCATCTATAGTATTAGCATCTGATCCTCGAAATGAAAGGGTTTTGAGAGGCTTCTATGAAGTGACTGGTACACTTGCCAATTGTCTGGTATAGTGATCCGATGACTTGTGTTGGGGATGCATTGATTTTCATAGGTTGTGCATGCATGAATGAATAGGTCTCTATCTTTTTCTTAATTCCAGTCTGTTAATATAACAAAAATTGCAATTGCCTGCATTTTCACAAATAATGTAGTCGATTAACTTCTTGATGTGAAATTATTCATTCTTGGATCTATTTTTGAAATTATTTGAACTGCTACATGTACAACACTATGCCTTAATAAGCAAGGTTAGGACTCAATTTCCTTACTCATCACTTCAATAACAAATTCAAGTGGTTAGTTATTAGCTTGAGATGTATATTTATTCATTAAATTACACAAATTCAAAACTCTTCGACTCCTTTGGATATGGAGATCCTGATTCTTGCATGCTTGTGTTTTTGTCTACGAAGCATTAATGATGTTTTGATACTTCTATTAATTGATTAATTCACACATGCATTCATATTTGTTTCCAGCAGGACTTGCACATGCGAGATTGATTCTTTGATCAAGTAGTTGGAGAGATTCTTTTGATAGATGACAATGAGAGCAATGTCATGTTAAATTGTGTCCATCTCATCTAAATGTTTAAGTTGTTAGTTTGGTTCAAATTCCAACCGTGATAAAAAGAGTTAGGTGATTTATTCCCATCCGTCTAAACTTTGGTGGATAGAGTCATCTAATAACCAGTAATCCATGCTGGTGGAAGTTAGCAGGTATTCGATGATTAGTCGACATGCACGCAAATTGGCCCGGGCACCAATTTTATTTATAAGAAGTTTAAGATGTTAAAGGAGGGAAACTTTTTTTTATTTGTTTACATCTGCAACTGTTACGTACTTGATAAATTTGAAGTATGGTGATCGAACTACTATGTTACGTACTGAAGCATTCTCCCAGCCTTCTTGGCGCTTGTTTAAAATAATAGATATTTGTTTTATTTATTATATATTGTTTTGCAATACAGATGAGCTGATGTATAATAGAGATTGTTGTACTCAACACTCTATATTTACATATTCTAGATTAGATGATAGTTTAGGCATCTCCTTGTACTTGTTTTATCCATAACTGATTTAGTAAATTTCTAATGTTCGATGCTTTTAAATTATTTGCTAGCTTTTGAATATTAAAACTGTACAAGTATGCTGACAGCCTGTTTGAATAGATTGGAATATGTATCTGAGAGCTTCTTCTGTTTTCAAAATGTTCGTTAAGGAATTATTCTTGGAAATTGGCAAATCTCATGTAGTTAGATCATATCCTTATCTTTTGTTGCCGGACATGGTTGATATGATTAGGAGCAATGAATGCCATCTTGACTCCATTTATTTTGTTTTCTTTCTTTTTGACTTTGATATTACTTGCAATTCTCTGATTCAATACTCTAGTTTAGAAAATGTTGCCAATGGGGTCAATTTTAAAGCTTTATGGAACTTTATCTATTTTATTGGAAGCAGGTAGTATATTTGGAAGACTGCCCTCCAAAAAAGTAGTCTTCTTTGCATGATATGCTGATTGGATACTAACTTGAGAAAGGAAGCGCCATCATGAGTTGGTATTGTATGTGCAAGCAGGGTGAAGGAAGACACTAACGTGAGCTCGGATCGGACTATAGAGTTTAAGGTGTTTCCTATTTAATTCTTAAACAGTTGCAGAGATCCTGTTGAGAGGTTGAGAATGGTGAGTGAGGAGGAAAATGTGAAGGCTAGCGCCTTAATGCATTTTTTAAATAATACATTGATATGACGAGGTTCTCATTGCATCTATCAAGCTGGTCTGGAAAGTGCATTTTTGCTAGGCAGAAGCCAAGGCTTGACTTCGAAGAAGCGACTAGACTAGGATTACCTGGGGCCACAATACTGCTTAATGGAGGATGGATCTGATGATTTCAGCATTGCTTATGCAATATTCATGTGATTTTGTGTATGCACAGCCATGGAAACCTACAATGATATGCATCTGTTTTCAAGAGTTGTTTTCAGTCTTTCAGAACTGGATAATGATGAGGAATTAGGTAAACACAATGGAATGTGCTAGGGCTGTAGCAAACACTTCCCGATAATATTTCCGAAGCCAAAATTGGTTATTGTGGTTGTTAATGGAAATAACAAAATTCATGTAGGATTTGCAAAGAAGTACTCTCAGGTTTGGCCTCTATTGACCCTTTTACAATATGCCTCCTAATCCTTTTGTATCCCACACCATGTGCTGATTGAGTTTTACTGTATTGTGGTTATTTCTTGAGAAATTCTGGAACGTTTGGTTGTTAAAACCCTTCTAGGTTTTCACCATATTTATTTTACCCTTGAACACATATTGCTTCATCTATTTGAAGATGAATTTCAGATTTAAATTTTTTAGCTTTCCTGGAGACAAACTTTTTGGCTGGGTGATTAGCTTAAAGTTAAAGAACATATAGTTCTACTTTAAAACAAGTTGCATCCCAATGTGGGTGAGTCTTTCCCGAGCAATGCTAGATGTTGGTAAATGTAAAAGGTGAGTCTAATTTTGGCTGACGGAATTACAAAAAAGGTGAAAGGCTGTGACACAGGTTGTATCGAAAGCAGTGATCTTTGCTAATACTTTAGGTTGTAGGCTCTCTTGTGGCTGTTATTCATTTACATGCTGTGGCAACTCATACAAGCAATTTAATAAACGAAATAACTACTATATAAACGAACTTTTTGTATTCCGAATGAAATGTATAAGCAGACCTTTATATTACAGTCTCTATTTCAAAGTCTGCACTCTAACAACATAACGTATTATCTGGTGTTGGATGATCATTCAAGAGAACTCCCACAATGTAATGTCTTTTTTCTTTGGGCATTAAGTCTTTGATGGCTGTGATTTTCTCCGAAGTTGATATTGCTGGCAATGAATTCAGCTTCTTTACTGAAAGGTACTTGGATCCACACATCTCGAGAATAGGCTCTTGATCTCAAGGTTTTAGAAATCAAGGATCAATCACTTCAGGGTGCAGGGGTTTATGAAACCTGAAGCTATATTTCTTATAGAGGGATCGACATGGGCTTCTATTAGAGTTGGACTTAAGATCCTTGGTGCAAGAACTGGAGATCAAGTTTGAATTATAATAGTCACTAATTCTTTGTGTATTATTTCAGCTGTTTTAGGCTCCTTCACCTCACTGCCCTTTTTCCTTGGCCTTTTCTGAATTTAAACAGAACTTTAGATAAACAAATGATAGAAGAAGGTTTAATCATTGAACTGTGTGCTATTGATATTTTATACAAGAAGCCTAGTATCTACGTCAATATGCTTCATACAGATAAGTGAATTATTTCATTGAAGTCCTCTTATATAATTTCAATTTTTACTAGCTAAAAGCACTCTCAATGGTTGAGTATCTGGTCCACACTTGTGAATCAAATGAGACTGAATAATCTGAATTGTCTTTACTAGCCAGTATTGTTGTTTGGAAAAAATAATGTACTAAAGTTATTTTGATAAGTAGTATTTATGACATGATGTCAGCAGATGCACAAATTTCATGAATTACGATGAGTAGATGGCTAAAAAAGATGTCAATGATGAAAGGGAAGATCCTGCTTCTTGTATTGGAAGTCACCTGTATTTTGCCAGTTAATTATAGAGACTTCCGTTAATATGAAAAGCACCGACCTTTGCTGCTACGCGTTGGTTTTAATACAAGAGAGGAAAAAATGAAAACCTTCTTCAGGTTTAAAGTTAAGTTTTGACATGCAGATGCACATGTTGAGAGGTAGTACTTCCTTTAAGATTTTCCTTTGACAGCGATCTCATCTCAGATCAAGACCCTGTAGCCCTTGTTCAAGAGATTATACATCAATGAAGCTAATATATATGTCTGCTATATATGATACTTCATACTTCTGTCATCCCTTCATATATTTTTTTCACCACTCACTAAGTTGCCTTCTCTTTATCTATACTTTTTTTTTCTTTATTTACATTTTCAATAGAACACAATTGAAGCAAAGAATCCATGCAGGCAATACGAACTAGTTGGGATTCAGGCCTAGTTGTCATTTTAGATTAGGCCTGGGTAGGGATAATTGTAAGACTTAGAGAATTACTAGTTTCATAGAACCCCTAATTTGTCTTAGAAGACAAACATCATGTCTTGTTACGTACCGATATTGGGATCAATTAGGTCCTGATAGAGTTATATAGAGGATTCATATCGGCTACTCCATCTAGGTTGGGATTGAGACATAGTAGCTTGATTGATTGATTTATCCTTTCTTTTTTCTTTTTAATTCAAGCTATAATTTGATCTGTCTTCTCCTCTATTTTTCTTCATCCTGTTGCTCAGTTTTCCTTCTCAAAAGCTCCTGTACCTCCAGTTATGAATAACTTCAGGATATTCGAGATTCTGGCCCTTATCACTGCTATAGCACTGCTTGTTTAAGGTTGCTACTTTATATATTGACCCACTTCAAGTGATATTAAAGCAGTATTCTATTTGTAGACTTCCAAAGCTGCATCCTTGCTATAACATTAGGGATGTGTTAATAGGTTGTCATCTGTTTCTGTCAGCATTCGTGTTGGTGGTGTTGCCTGTTGATGGAACATTATGTTTGTGTAAGGATATTCCAAAGCCCTTGATTGGTTGAGTTCTTAAATGGGCGAGGAGGTTCAGAACCATGAAATTTCTGGGGCAATAGGATAAGTCGATGATCGATTAGCTCACTTGGGTCCTATGAATCTAAAATTGCTTACTTTAATGACACTAGTGATGTTCCCAATATACATAAGTAGTAAGTTCTTTTGCTTAACCATTTGTCGAAGTCCATCTTACATAAACTCTTCATTTGCCTTGATATACACATTTGTGCCAAACAGGTGTAACATGGGTATAGGTACTTCATATCGATCCTTCGAGATACACTAAAAGTTTGCTAAATGTTTAACTTATCCAACCAAATACTTACTTGTACATACTCATATCATGCAACATAGTTTTAAGCCTATGTTCTCTAATGTTCAGTTTCCTAGTTTGTGGAGCAGGGACAGCCACAAAATGTTACCTCACCTAAAATGTGTATCTAAGTTGTGGGCTTCTGCATCAAGCACTATAAGAAACCTCAAAAGGTAGTGTCTTAGGAGCATAATGACACAATTTATGATGTTTAGCACACGAAAATATTAGTAGCGACATTTGTAGAAAAGAAAAAGATAATTAGTAATAACTTTATGAAAATATTTGTCACAGGCTTTTTTAATTCACGAATCATTAGAGGGTCCACCTTCAGTGAACACTCATTTACGGGACTGATAACAGTGACTGAAGCCTTGGGGCATGATTAAGTCCAAGACTTGTTCATCTGATCAAAGTTGTATAACCGGAGTTAGAATTGGAAAATGAATGTTGATGGAATCAGTTTGGATTGTTGCATTTCTGTGGAAGTACCTTTGCTTGTCACAGTTCTATGGAGATTTTATGCAGAAGTAATCAGCCTTTGGCTGTTCAGTTTTGAGTTTTCAAGAATCAAGACAGGTATCTCGGTTGTGTTTCTTCTGAATGATCATACTACGACGGCAGCGGAAGTTAGAGTGCTTACTAGTTCATGACTCAATTAATAATCTAGTTGTATTAGGATTTGTCTTTTAATATGGTGTAGATGGAGAACATGAAAAGATGTCGTCCCCCTATTTAGTAGGGTAAGCTTATTGAGGTTTCACTTTACTTTACCTTATAATAATAAAAGTTTATTGAGGTTTCAGTATCTTTGCTTTAGGGTCCCGATGTTCAAGACATTCTGCTATATGGTGTGGGGCTAGCTAGGAATGAGAGCTTGGAATTACATGGTGCCAACCACCTTAGTTGCTCTCTAGTCGCCATCACCTAAAGGCTGAAGGAAACCCTCATTGGAATTACCTCTTTAGATAGCTAAAAGGGCAGCTTCCAGGAACGAAATTAATCATATTCTTGAGAGTACAATCATCTTTCTTGCACATTTGCATTATGTACCTTTTGCATGTGACTTATCCCTTTATGTTGATTGGAGGTTAGACATCAAAGATGAAGGATACATAAACTAGAAAATTGAGTATGGTTGGGTTAGACATAGCAGCTCAAGTGGAAAGATGTGTATTTTTTTTAATTGGCATTTTATTTTTGTACATAAAGTGTCATGATGTTGACTCAGTGCATTACAAGAAGAATTAGGACATACCAAAGACAAGAAATTTAAGTGCTTGTTTGAGGTGTACGTCAGTTTTGTATGGTTTTCTTAAGAATTGAAGAAGGAGCGGAGGGCCCTAAAAGGTTCTTACTCTCAAAAGATGTGTGAATGCACAAAATTGAGATACAAGATTGACATAAGTGCCTTGTAGAGTGGCAAACAAATCTTTGTATTTTTCTGTGTCTTTTAAATTCAAAATATAATTGAAATTTGTTTGCAGAGATGAGGAAGGGGGCTTGAACTAGCACCAGCATAAACGCAGTCCTCCAACCGTTACAGGGAAGGATGGGGACAGGACATCCAAATGGGACATGGAAATCTATATAGCAATCAAGGTAGTAGGTCCCTTTGCTCCCTCACCACCCACCCCCTTCATGTTATTGGATATTATGATCCCTTAAAACTCCCGAAATTTCAGCTCCAAAAGTAAAATATGTTCGTTCATTTTGGACTTGCTAAAACTGAGTGGTTATTGGTTCTTGGTTCCTCATATAACAAAAAAGGCAAAAAAAAGAAAAAAAGAAAAAAAGGAAATTGGAGTAATGTAGAGCTCATACATTTCGTGGTGATCTTAAATGAGTTTGCAGATTGTGAAATGAATGAAGTTAGGAGGACCCCGCTTATTTATTCTGTCTTTGTTTTTAAAATTTGTCCTGCATTCTCATTAATGTTTGTGTGCAGGTTGCAGTATATGCTAACTAATGCATCACTCCTTCTGCCCTTAACAAGACATTCATTTCCCTATTGGAGTACTAAGCTTTACTTACTTCCACTTGGACAAAAAATAAAAATATAAAAAGAGAAAACGATAACCACCTTTTTATAGTTGGCCGCCAACTTTTGAAATAGAATTGAAAATTTTTATGACAAAAAGATGAGCTCAAATTTGGAAATCCTTGATAGTGGGAAAACTGAAAAGTTGGTGATGTGCATGATGTATCAATTACGTCTCAATTTCATACTAATTGAGATTGTTTATATGAATTATTTATTTTCAATATATTCTATTTGGACCAGTCTTGATCTAATATGATAACATAATGTAGTTTAAGGTATATGTTCTTAATGTTACACTTATTTCTTACAATGGGACACAATCTCAACAAGACTCAGAAGAATTCAGACGATAATCCTAATTAGTTAGTATTACTTATGTGGATTCTTTGTTTCCATTGTGATGTTTTCAGATTAATTTGCTTTGATTTTGAAAGATTGTAACTCTTTTGAGACAATTCTTCTATTTGATTTTAGGTCTACCTCTTTCTTTTTAGCACACTTAATTATGTTGTATCGTACCTATGAACTGATTTATTTTGAGTTCGATGTAGAAATCACAGTTCATAACAAGCAACTTTCTCTTATTTTATATCTGTGTGCAAGCTTTATACCCTTGTCTAAGTGATCATGTTTATTTGTCCAATATTGTATTATCACACATCCATCATAATATCTACATTTTTACGATCCTTATCTTGTGGATATGTTGGCCTTTAGAGGTTCAATATTGAATCCTAGTTACTCCCTCCGTTCTCATTTAGTTGTCATGTTAAAATTACTTGTTCCCAAAAACTTGTCAGTTTAGAAAATTAAGAAAGAATAAATTATTCTTTTCACCTTTATCCTTACTCTAATTAATGTGAAAAAAAGATTAATGTAGTGAAATCAAGAGACTAAAGAATAAATAATGGTAATTTAGTCAAATTATGCTTTTAATTAATATTTTTAAGGGGCTTGCAAAAGGCAAACATGACAAGTAAAATGGAATGGAGAGAGTAAAATTGCTCGTTGTTACACTCTGTTAGACTATAATGGCGGAGGTGCAATTATACCTACAAAATGTATAGTCTAGTGAGAATCTCTCTACTCCATTTTACTTATCATGTTTGACTTTTGCACGCCTCTTTAAAAAATGTCAATTAAAAGGATAATTTGACTAAGTTACCCTTATTTACTCTTTATCTCAATATATTACTATTCTTGATCTCCCCACATTCATTGGAGTAAGAGTAAGCGTGGAAAAGAATAATTAATTCTTTCTTAATTTTCTAAAATGACAAGTGTTTTTAGTAAACTTTGAGAAATAAACGGGAACTACATAGAAGTGAAGGAGCAATGAAAGATTAGCACCATAGAAGTGAAGGAGTAAGGAAGTACATAGAACTGAAAAGATGCTGGAAAATGGGAAACGCAGTTCAAGAAGTTGTGGACATTTATATTAACTTTGGGTTTGCTTTCATGGACTGCTGAGGGTCTTACAAACAACAACCGCCCTCTGGTTTATTAACCCTCGCTGATGAATTTGAGTCTTAGTTTGTAGCCTCTAAATTTAATTTGGTGGACATAATTTGTCACAAACAATAAACATAGGCTATTTTGGTAACTTGTACTGAATATGTTAGCTTATAAGCCAAGCAGAGGCATTGGATGATGTCTCTCTTTCCTAGTTTAATTTCATCCAAAACTTGTACCGGACTCTGGTATTTTTTACTACAAGAAATGGGTTAGAGAACAACGACCTCTGTTACTGGAATATCCTAAAACCTTGTAAGCTTGTGTAATCCAGCATCAAGTCTGGTTGGCTGCTAAACCCACCTGAGTAGTTTGCTGTATTAAATTAGCTTTTGCGAATTTCAACTTAATTATCATATATATGATGAATTAAAGCTAAATTTCTCGTTATTACTTTATAGGAGTATTTAGTTATTTCTGTGTTTGTTGTGGCAAAGTACCTTCTAGCTCCTTCATTCTTGCTTCTTCTTCTGAGTGGTGCATGCATGCAGACAAGTACGCGTGCACAGTCAAAGAGAGAGCTGGAAAGGGTTGGTGAGGATAGTAAATGTGAAAGTTGATTTCTGAGCCAAAATATTAGAGTAAAAGCTCATTCTTTTGTTTGGAAGCGGTGATGTCTTTATGCTATCAGATTAATTACATGAAATTGTACATGTGTAAAGCGAGATCAGAGATCAGTGACATGAAAAATAAGACAGATTATGTGTTGAAACGTTTAAAAAATTTTCTATACTGTTAATGCATAGTAATTAAATCCTTGAGTATATAGCAAGAATTAAGAGAGGTTATTTGTTGCAACATGTTAAAAAGTTTATAGCTAGGATAAAAATTCTTATACGCTATATATATACAATGATAGTATTGAATTCTTTTACAATATTAGTATACTGTTTTTATGCTCCTTTCACTTTCTCGATCTATCACAAATAGAACCACAGAGAAAAAAGAGAGGGACTAATAGCTGCTAGTATTTGATGCTTTGCTCTAACATAAAAAATTCAAGTTGCATTGGAAAAAATATTAAAAATCATCATAAAAAGGCACGGAGATGCCGTGTCTGCGCATTGAAAGCTCTCTCAAAAATTCATTTAAGCACTGTCTCAAGAGACAAGTTGCAGATCTTGCCCTCTTGGGCCCTCTTCCGTCATCTTCTTCCTCTTCATTTCCATCTCTCTCATTTACTACCTCTCTTCTCTATCAGTACACTACTTACCTTACATAATTTACACACCACTTTGCATTTTGTCGCTTTGCATTTAACTCCTTTATGTATGCAATGCATATCTTTTCGCATTCTCAGTAACTACTCGTCTTTTGCTTTTTGTGCTTTCTCTATCTCATACTAACTCCTAACACCTATCCTCGTTCCCCTTCTCATATTGCCACTTCCCCTATTGTCTTATCCACCTTTGCTAATGAACTTCTTAATGCTGAGTGTGTGAATTTTCTTATTTTTATTAGATAATCTAAATGATAACTACAAGTAATGGCTCTAAGTAGAATTTGTAGCAATAAGGGTGTAACTTAGTGGTTAATGATGTGGGTTGAGAACCATAAGGTCTTAGCTCTTACATTCACATTCCGGCGGAGGCAAAAGAAGCATTAGGTTATTTCTTCTCATCCGTCCAATTATTGGTGGACAGAATTACCCGATACCTATGTTGTTAAATTACACTAATAATGAAATTAATACTGCAGGACGAAGAAAGTCAGGGAGTTAATTTATATTGTAAGAAAAAGAAACATCATTCAGTAGTTTGATTGTTTAAATTTCAAACTGTTCTCAAGTTTGGAATTTAAAATCTTGGGAATGATTTATATATAACATTTTTACATGTCTATCGACATTCTGAGACATCTTAAAAATTCAGTGTGACAAAATGGGATAAGCGATACATTGGAGAAGATAAGGTTCTTAATAATTCGTGTTCATTTAGCCAATTTCAGCCCTAAAAAGGCAGAGTGCTGTTTAGGAGTCTGCCTCATTCCCCTAAAAAAATTAAGTGAAAATAGCATGGACTAGTCAGTTTTCAGACTGGTAATCGAAAAATAGTCAGCGTTTGCAAAGTCATTGAAAATAGCTATTGTTTTATGCGGAGATAAAATCTGGACAAAAATACCCTAGCTGAAACACGGAAAGTTCCAGCATAATATGGTAGATTATGAAGCTCATGCGTATAACATCCAACATATTATATGTTGGAACTCTAACACTTAATGAAATTCCATTCCAGCACATTATGCTGAAATTTCATACGTAAAAAATTCAAATCTAGCATATTATGCTAATTCTGAATTTTTAAGAGTGTTTTTCTTCAGATTTTATCTTTATATGAAAAAGTCTAAATTTCAATTACTTTTGAAACTGTGGCTATTTTTCAATTACCAGTTATAATAAATCAGGCTATTTATGATTTCCCCCAAAAAATTACATGCAATATAGAGTTTGATTTACCTTTTAACAGAAGTGCAAAGAAAACAATCCTCAAAGAAAAGGTAGGAGTTCAGCTTAGATTATTATTTCAAAATTCTATCCCTTGAGGAGGAGACTGACTAAACTCGAGACCAAGCTTAGAATATATAAAATTTCAGCGTTATACTTATTTCTAGTTACCCAGATATGAATCCAAATATTCTTAGCTAGGTGGGAATGATGTAAAACACCCTCTTCAATTCCAATTATCCATCTTGTACTACAGTATTGAAATGGAATACTTTGATTAACAAGTTAGAAACCTTTGTTCTATCCAAGAGTGATTCCTAAAGAGCAAACACAAATCACAGAAGTTTAAAAGCCTACATTGACATAAATGTGTCGGGAATACCTACATGCAGCATGAAAATAAGGATTAAGGTACAAAAACAAACAAATACTAGCAAGCTACTGAAAAAGGTAGGTTAAGACCATTAAAGCGTTCTAAAATAATGAAAGAAACATAGAGTACGATAATCATAACATTTAATTCTTGATCCCTATTTGGATAAATATTAATTTCACGGTCTCGAGGAAATATGGGAACTATATAAACAATATTGCAAATCTCAATCTTAGATTTAAAAAAAAAAAAAAAAAAAAAAAAAAATACATAAGGAGTATTTTGAAAATAAGACATATATAGGTTTTAAATTGAACTTGCGTTATCAGAATCACAGGGTTGTTGTTCGAAGTTATATGGTATGGCAAAATCATTTTTCGATCGTTTTGTTTTATTGGCGTCACTGCTCCCTCCAGCTGTGCTGCCTTCAGTTTTGTTGCCGGCCATGGGTGATTATCGGAGGTAATTTAGGTAAGCTCTGATACGATGGTAAATTAGAGAGGCATGGCTAGTGAAGAGAAAAATTGTTCAGCATTTCTTATTCATATGATATTATGTCTATATATACAGAGAAATAAGGAGCAAACCTAAGTACCCTAGTTTTAGGTTAACTATATATTAAAAGCACGAACACTGTTAGCGAAATATCGTTCGTCTTTTTTATCCTTTAAAAATCGAAATTATGTTCCTAATATTTAAGTCTTTAAAATTAATTAAAATTTTGATTATTAAATCTTTCCTTATTTGAGTCACGCATGTATTCCTAAAATTGAGGCATTTAAAATAGAATAATTTTAAGTCCGTGTTAGAATCGTGTAAGCTACAACAAAGTAATCCTTGTTATTCACTTTTAGAATTTCAAATAGCATTTTCTCCCACCACCTAGAACCGGTGTTGCTATCCCTTGGATCCTAACTCTTTTTATAATTTTTATCTTATACTTTCCCCAAAGTATTATAAGATTGTCCCTTAATTCGTTTAGTATTTTTAATTTTTAATTCTATTCTAATTTTTGTTTATAATTTAACACTATTGTCGTGCATGATGTATAACATTATGAAATTTGAGTTAGTTTCAATAATATCGAATTTGAAATAATTTCCTACTACTCCTTGTTAGACAATTTGACGTGGACCTGACATTCCAAACAATAAATTTTGGCTAAAAGTAAATAATATGAGAGAATTGTCCAACATTTATGAACTACACATATATAGGTTTAGGATTTCATCTGATATTGTTTGATTCAGTTTTCTCTAATGCTAATTTAGATAGTTCCCTCATATTATCATTTTAGCTGTAACAATG